CTGACATGTGGGCCCTTGGGGGCCCTGGTAGGTCGTAAACGGCATCGGCGTGCGACCGCAACTTGCATGCCGAAATGGCGCACCTCCTGGGTGAGCACTCGGTTGCTGCCTTGCTGGACGCTTAGTATGTGCACCCTTCGGCGTTGATCCAGCAGAGCTTGGATGAAGGGTTCCCCGCGAGACTCACCTGGATGGTTATGCATTACCACGTTCCCGCGAGCCATTCAGTGTTATGGATCCCTGTGCGCGTTCTACCAGTCCTGGCAAAGCATCTTAGCGGGTTGCAGCCAGTCGACCTACATGCTCACGGTACCCCATTGCCAAAGCGATTCGGCGGTTGGCCTCTCCAACTTCCATTCCCAGGGCTTTGGTGGGCGACGTCTCTGCGCAATGGATTGGGAAAGGCATTACACAACTACGCAGGTATTGGAGTCAGTTACGCGGGCCCATTGAGGACGTCAGCGAGCTTGGATTGATCATGCAAGCTAGCAAGTCAGGCTTCGTCGCCACTAGCATGGAGGCGATACGGGCTTCCAAGGCTGCGGCGGACTACTGCAAGATCCGCGCGCAGGGACACATGCGCAATTCGGGGCACGAGCTGCACGGCAGGGCCATCATTCGTCGGGTCGCGGCGAAGCGACATAAGGTGCCCAAGGCCAGGCTGAAGCGGGTGCGGAAGTTCAAGCGCAGCGCAGGGCATCGCATCACCACGCTGTGGCGGGCTGGCACGCTGCCCTCCGCTGGGCACGAGGCGGCGGTCAGCGGGGTCACGGGCTCCGAGCTCCAGACCCTTCGGCAGGCGGCCACTGCCCTTAGTGGTTACCCTGGACGTGGCGCGAGCAGCACGCTGTATTTGGCCACGCAGCGTGACCCGTGGTACGATCCTGTTTTCGAGGCCACCACTCGCCCTTTTTTTCGTATCATCGCATCCTTTGGGAGCAGCTGGTCAGCTTGGGACGACTCGGAAGAGCCTGGCGTGCCCTTGTGGCGGTTGAGTCGGTGAGCTGGAAGAGCGCGCGTGGTCCTATCGCAGTCGCGCTTCTGTCGTTCCGTCGCGTGGGTCGAGATATGCTATCCTCAGCGGTACTTCGCGAAGAGTGCGGGCAGGTGTGGTCTCTTCTAAATGTCGACCCGATGATGATGAGGGGCTTGGTGCGTGCTGGTGCACAACGATGGCAGATACGTCGCATGCAGGCACACCATGACGAAGACCCTGGAGTATCGATTTGGGCAAGGTGCTTACGGCACTGCGTCGGCGATAAGGCTGCGGCGCTGCAGTGCCCGAAGATGGCTGGCGCTGTGAGGTCCTGGTGGTCAGGGTCGCAATGGACTAAGGTACGTCCGCGTGCTCATGGACTTGCCCAGGGCAGCTTGTGTCGCGGGTGTGGACAGGAGGAGGAGTACATCGGACATGCGCTACCAATGCCCTGCAGTTCAACAGCAGCTTCAGGATGGTGAAGAGGAGCAGCCTATGCCCGAGGGGCTTGTCAAGTATCGCGACGCGGTGCTGGCCCACGGTGCTCTGCGTACTCATTTGGTTTCCGACGACTGTTATGCTCTGAGCGTCGGGTTGCCCTTGCTCCCTGGCGATTTCACTGGGATGGTTAAGGAAGCGCCAATTACCTTTTGGGGCGATGGGAACATCAATATGCAGTCTTGGGCTACCGAGGTGTTCACTGGCGGCCCGGACATGCCATCCAGTTTCCCTGAGCTTCGCAGATGTGGATGGGCTTGCGTGCAAACGTCGCCGATGGGGTACCCTGTTCGCGCGGTTTACGGCGGCCTACCTGGCGCGCAACAAACTATTGGTACTGCCGAGAGGTTTTGCGTTCAACAGGTGCCCAAGTATTTCCCACTGGCTACAGACGTGGTCACGGACTTGGCTGGGTCGGTGGCCGACGGACGGCGCTGGTCATCACGCGATGCTACGTCTGGTGCGCGGCGCGCCAGCACATGGAGGAATACCCGGGGGCTGCAAGAGCGCAGTGGCAGGGAGCCGGTACGTTTTCATTGATGCCCTTCTCATTGCGACCACGCGGAGGTCGCATGCGATGCAACCCGCGCGGCCCGCTTCGACTGGCCGGGTGATTGGCAACGCGTGGGCTGATTATTCCGCCAAAGAAGAGGCTCGGAGCATCAGTTGCGCCGACGGCTACACTGACTTCTGGAAGATGTCCTTCGCGCAAGCCAAGTTGCGTGCCCGGTTATTGGCCTTTACGTTGGGTCGGTCGTTTCAGCTCGAGGTGTGGGGCGATCGTGCTCCACAGCCTCGGCGCGAAGAGCCGAAGCGTCGGCTGCCGTTGGTTCGCCGTCGCACGTGGCGGTCTGAGGCGCACGGTGAATGGAAGCGTCGCGGCTGCAGTGCGCGGGCTCGCACCAACGCGAATTTCAACGACTGGACGCGGGGCCCCCGCAAGGCATGTAACCCGACGGCGCCCCAAGCAGTGCAGGCCGACGTCTTCTTCGGCACGGCCAAGGGATTGACCCATGTGCCTCGACGCGAGGAGGCGGCGCATGTTGCTCCCAACTTCGCGGGCGAGGTGCTCGGACATCTGATCAGATTCTTCATCAGGCTACTGATGGAGAGGGCCATGCTACGCTCTACACGCACGACTTTTTTGCTGAAGTGGGTCACGCTACCCAGTGGTGTGAATTGGCAGCGGTACAAAGTGTGCACGGACTCCGAGTGACGTCACCAGGAAGGTCTTGAAGCTGCGGGAGCCTTGTCGTGGGGCTGCTCGCGACCGTGCGACCCGCCGCAATCAGATCAAGCGCGCGCTGCGGTTCGCCAAGGCTCAGCCGATGGAGTTCCACTCGCGGCTCTACGACCTTCTGTCAGAACGCCAGGGGAGCACCCTCCCCGATGCCGAGTAGTAGCGTCTACGATATTGAGTGTTGCGTCGCCGTTGTGCTGGTTGTGGCCGCAGGCGGCGTGCGATTGGTACACTCTTTCTTTGGTGCGCGAATGGTCGCATTAATCATGCCATGGAGCGCACCTATGTGTGTTGCGGATGGTCGGCGCGTGTGCCGTGCTGGTCCATTTCGTTTCAATTGTTGTGGCGGCTTGGCTGGGCTTCAGCGGCTGCAGTTCATTTTCGGGCCCCACAGCTTGGAGGGTTGGCCAGCTGGGAGCATGCGTGTGCTGATGTCGTCCGACGTCGGCCACCATTTTTCTTGCACTGGTGATGTATCAGTGCCGTTGTTCTTCCTCCTGGTGGTCCTCCTTTGACTCACCAGGTGGACCAGGTCTGGAGGCACCTGGCTATTGGCTGGCTGTTCTCGGGCCTGGAATGCCCTACTGTCTTGGAGGGTGCCGAGTTCGTGGTCGACGGGCTCGTGTACTGAGGCCGCCTGCCTGGCGGCGCGGTAGCAGCGTCCGCCTGCGCATTGCAGGCGGCCGCCCAGTGGCGAAATGACTAAAGGAGGAGCGGGGGGGGAGGGAGGGGGAGGGAGGGAGGGAGGGAGGGAGGGAGGGAGGGAGGGAGGGAGGGAGGAGGGAGGGGGGAGGGATGATGATGATGAGAGGAGGAGGAGGAGGAAGGGAAGGGATGAAGGGAGGGAGGGAGAGGAGGACGAGGAGGAGGATGAGGACGATGAGGCGGAGGAGGAAGGAGGAGGAGGAGGAGACGAGGAGGGAGGATGAGGAGGAGGAGGAGGAAGAGGATGAGGAGGAGGAGGCTGAGGAGAAGGAAGATGAGAAGGGATGATGACGAGGGAGGGGGGGAGGAGGAGGAGGAGAGGAGGAGGAGGAGGAGGAGGAGGAGGAGGAGGAGGAGGAGGAGGAGGAGGAGGAGGAAGAGGAGGAGGAGGAGGAGGAGGAGGGGAGTTTGTATCGGCGCGCGGAGCACGCCAGGGGCGGCGCCATAGGTACGGCCAGGGGGGGGATCAAGCGCCGACCCAAGAAATCAGCACGGGCCTCCGAAGGTTCATGCCTACTTGCTCTCTCTCTCTCTCTCTCTCTCTCTCTCTCTCTCTCTCTATATATATAGATGGTTTCCAGTAGATGGGCAATACATTCGAACTCTTACACATTCGAGGGATATTCGAAATCACCCCCACGTCCCCGATATCAATGTTGGTATCAGTGAACGCGGTGTTGTGGGGCTCGAATGTTTCTGTTCACTCACGCCCCCCCCCCGTCGTCACGCGATCAATGTTAAGGTATGGGGGTCTGGGGGGGTGCATCTTGGGACACAGGGTTCGAATACAATGTCCATGTGCGGTCTCCTTCATACATTTTATATGGACGTGTCGACGTATATGTATGTACGCATGTGTATACGTGCTTGTATGTATACCTACTTTACGTGTGCATATACGCACATATATATATATATATATATATATATATATATATATATGTGTATATATGTATGCAGACTATTTTCCTTCCATCTGACGGAACCGTCGCGTCTCGTGTTCCCAGTGTCCTGCTCCTCGGCAGGGAAGCCCTGGTCCATTCCCCGCAGACCTTTCACGGTCCAGCCAGCCTGCAAAGGGGCACATGGCGAGTAGGCCCCCCTTGGTGGCCCCCTCTGGTTTTGTCAGCTTGCAGAAGGCTGGATCTCAGGCCAAGGCGGGGAAATGGCTGGCGGCGCGCCTCGGGGGGAAGGCAGCGAGGGCGGGCCGTCTCAGAAGGCTCGGAAGGCCTCTGGCCTTGCTTCTCCGAGGCCACACAAGGCTCCCAAGAAGCACGGAAGGCTTCTGAGAGGCCCCGCCGCCTTCTGAGAAGGCTTGCCCCCACTCTCGCTTCCTCCCTGAGGGCGCCGCCGAAGTCAGGAACACTTCGGGTTTGGGAGGGGCACGCTGTTTCTTAGGTCGTTTCGTTGTTGTTCCTCTAGCGCCCGTCTTGCTCCCAGCTACTTTGGGTGCCACATGGTGGCGTCGTGTTTCATGTGGCGGTCCTTGTGGTCGTTGCTTGATTGTACACGTGATGTTTGAGAGACGATCACGTTCTTCTCAGCAGGGTGACCCCAACAGGACATCAAGGCTGCGTAGCTGGCCTGTGTTTTTTCCACGCTTGGAGCATACACATGTTGCGAGGCTCTGGGCCCACTACCCCGCGATTCCTCATCTTACGATCCTGCCATGCTGCGCAGTTCTTTGGGGAGCGAACGTAAGGGGTTCGACGGCATGCACGCGTGCTCACGCTATGATGTAACCAGCATTCCCATAACCGTTTCAGACTCAAGCTTGCCGAAACACCATTACCGCCGAAGGTTGTCGCTCTACGTTTCGGGCGGAAGTTGCCCTGGCGGCAACATGAACGAGTATGAACATATCTACATGAAGAAGCGGAAGGAATTCGGCCGATATTGTAAGTTTGACGACGTTGAGCCGAAGATCCTTGGCACAGTGGAGGAGAATCGGAACTGCGGTGACATGTACGTCGAAAAATCGATCATGGATGTGGTCCTCGACAACATCCCGCAATTCTCGGAGCACGCTGTGAACACCGCCAAGGTGAAGATGCAGAGCCAAACTATGATGCACACGGAGGGGGGGTGGCCGAAGGAGATTGACCCAACGGAAGTGCAGGACACATTGAAGTGGATCAAGCGGTTGGAAAAAGACCCGACGTACACTGCTGCCGTGAAGAATCTGACGTCGCAAACGGTGAAATGCATAGAGCAGAACAACACAATCGATCTTTTCGAGCATTACTTCCACATGGAGGAGCCAGAGCACATGCCCGAGTCTCTAAACATGAAGACGGTAGCCCTCTTCAAGGACCCTTGCGACGAGAAGCGCAGCGTCACCAAGATTGGCTGGCACCCAGAGGGTCCCAGTAGGCTGGTATGCTCATACTCCAATCTTCGGTTCCAGCGGATGACGGATGAGATGCCGATGAATTCGTTCATCTGGGACATAAATGAGCGGAACGAGCCACTGACTGAGTTGAGAACGCCTTCCCCAATGGTTTGTTGCCAGTACAACCACAGAAATCCAGATTTCTTGGTCGGAGGTTGCTACAATGGCATGATCAACTTCTACGATCTCAGGAAGGGGCCATCCCCTGCGCTGAAGTCCGCCGTGGAGGCCACACACTGGGATCCTGTCTATGACGTGGTGTGGATGCAGTCCAAGACCAATTCCGAGTGTGCATCCGTGTCGTCGGATGGGCGTCTGCTCTTTTGGGACGTGCGCAACTTGAGCGAAGCCGTGGACGAGTGCGAGCTCACTGACGGTGGCAAGGAGCCTAAGGTTTTCGGAGGTACCTCGCTGGAGTGGATGCAGGAAGCAGGTCCCTCGAAGTTTCTCGTGGGCACGGAGCACGGCATAATCTTGTCGTGCACGAAGAAGCCCAAGAAGAACGTGGAGGTGTCCAGCTGGTACGGGCAGGAGGAGAAGGGTGGGTACGGGCGCCACTTCGGCCCCGTGTACTCGGTCAAGCGCAATCCGTTCCACGTCAAGTTCTTCTTGAGCGCGGGGGAATTTCGTGGGCGGGAAACATACCCATATCCACGGCCTCGCGAGCTGGGCCCCTGGGCCGCGACCCTGTTGATACAGGGCGTTCTTGTGGCGCATCCCGGCGCGGAGCGTAGCGTATCCATGCAAACGCGTATCCGCAGGATCGCGCCCCAGGATCCAGGTCGCGAGGGCGTGGATACGGATACGTAAGCCGCCCGCGAGGACTGGTGCGCCAAATTGTGGATGGAGGAGCCGAAGGGCCCCATGCTGCAGACGCCCTTCTACCCGTCCTACATCAGCGCGACGGCGTGGAGCCCCACCCGGCCGGGAGTGTTCTTCCTCACCCGCCACGACGGCCGCTTGGAGACCTGGGACACCGGGAGGGGGACAGGAAGCACCCTCTGCGGGCGTCCGCGGGACACACCTTGGGCCATACCGGCAGCACATAAAGTACGGCGGGGGGCGTTCGCTGGGGAGTGCGCCCGGGAGGCTTCAGGCAACGGAGGGTTCCTTACTGGATGAGGGCGGCGGCGATATCCATGTCCACTCCACGCTTGGAGTCCCACCCAGCTTCCAGACAAGTCGGGCCTTTCCCTCTACAGGAAGAAGATTCAAAAGTAGTAAAAACATAGTCTGGGGTCGATTTCTTTAAACAAGCAACTCGTCCAAAATCCGCCTCTAGGGGCACACGGCCGACCTAATTCCAGACCGTGGATTCCCTATCCGACGACTCCTTGCCCGAAGCCTCCATCGTAAGAAGCCAGCAGGTGGAACTGTCTTCTCCGGGCCCATGCCCCCTGGGGACCCACAGGAGCTCTAGGGCACCTTAGGACCCTCGAATATCGACGAAGGGCATGCCACTACGATTTCTTATGGCAAGCTGTCTCAGTGTATGCTTTAATGTTGCATCTCATGGGGAGGAAGACCTACCAATACCGCTGCTCGTCCTGGAGATCCCTCGTCGCCACGGCTGGATCCTCTCCTACTTCGATTTTGGTCCGTGGAGCAGCGGTGTCGGCCAGGCAGGCCTAGGAGCGAGATAAATCGCACCAGAGCGCTCCGGAGCGCGCGGAGACGGCCGCGGCGCCCGATACGTCTTCCAGGTCCGCCTGCTCTCAGAGATCCGCGATCTGTCCCGATCCGATTTTGTCCTGATCCTGGCTACGTCTTGTCTGGAGATCGTTTTTCTGTCACACGGGATAACGCCCGTGACCGGCCCCGCCCCCCCACCTTCTCCCCCCTGGTCACGTCATGACTCGCGCCGGCTCCGTGTGGGAAGTAGCCATTCTCATGCATTCTCGAATGGCGCCAGCGCGAGGTGTGAAATGAAGGCCCCCTCCCCCCCTCCCCCCGGTCACGCCGAGCTTCGCCAGGGGATCAACAAAGAAACTGTCTGGGCCGGCATTGTCCCAGAACTTGGATCCTCCTCCCCCTTCGCTCTTCCCGCGCGCGCCCCCGCGCGCGTGCCCAACGGCGCGCGCGCAAGAAGACCAGGAGGAGGAGGAAGAGGAGGAGGAGGAGGAGGAGGAGGAGGAGGAGGAGGAGGAGGAAGAGGAGGAGGAGGAGGAGGAGGAGGAGGAGGAGGAGAGGACGGAGGACCGAGGACCGATGGAGGGGAGGGAGGAGGGAGGGAGGGAGGGAGGGAGGGAGGAGGAGGAGGCGGAGGAGGAAGAGGAGGCAGGAGGAGTAGGAGGAGGATTGGAGGAGAAGGAGGAGAAGCAGGAAGGAGGAGGAGGAGGAGAGGAGAGAGGGGGAGGGACAAAAAGGAGGAGGAGGAGAAAGAGGAGGGGAGGAGGAGGGAGGAGGAGGAGGAGGAGGAGGAGGAGGGAGGAGGAGGAGGAGGAGGAGGAGGGGAGGAGGGGAGGGAAGGAGGAGAGGGAGGGGGGGGGGGGAGGGGGAGGGGCAAGCTAGGTGCGCGCTCGCTGACATCCTACCCCTCCCTCCCATCCCTTACCATGGCGTAGATCCCCTCTCTACTCGCACAGTCGGATGTCGAGCAGGGCAATGATCGCGAAAGGGTACGCGATGCATTGTAGAGCACGGCATGGCATGGCGTAGAAGAGCACCGCAAAGCGTAGTATCAACCTAGCAGTGCATTGCATGCCGTGGCATGGCACGGGAAATGACGCCAGCGCTGCAGCGGGAGCACGAGTCGAAACGAGCAGAAGCGCGGAAATGAGGCCAGCGCTGCAGCGGGAACACGATTCGGAACGAGCGGAAGCACAGACATGAGGCCAGCGCTGCAGCGGGAGCACGATTCGGAACGAGCGGGGCCCGAAAATGAGGCCGGCGCCTCAGCGAGAGCAGTATTTTGAAACAAAAAATGCAAGCGAAAACCCAACTCCCGGGAATCCTGAGTGTAAAAAACAATACGCGAGGGGGGGGGGGCGAACACTCCCAGCACGTCATCAGGGGAAGAGGGAGAGTTGTATTCATATTGAGTAATTGTGGAGGGCGGGAGGAGGCCCCGATCCGATTTGGTCACGATCTTGGGTTCGTCGTAATCGGTGCCTCTCTTGACGCCTCAGCACTGGGCATCCACGCGCACATTTGGACGTGAAATATAACAGAGGGTTTTGCTCGTGCGCGTAGCCGCCTCCTCTGTGGCCCTCTGGGCTCAAGGCCCCTTGCGGGGCCAATTTCTTGGGGTGGGCGGGCGGGGCCATAGCTTGCCTGCCCGGCCTGCGGCTCGGGCCAGGCGTTCCGAGGAGTATTGGGTAGTGGCAGGGCCAGGACCAGCCTCCAGTGCGGGCGGTGACCGGAGGGGTCGCGTGGCCCGCTGCAGCCGCCTGATGCGGCCAACCCACGCGCTCGAGTGCTGGACGTGGCTGGACGCGTCTCTGGGCGTGGGGCTGTACGCCAGCTTCGCCGCGACGGCCGCGGTCTTGAGGCCCGAAGACGGCCGCGCGCGGGCAGACCCGGGCAGGAACGACTCGAGCGACGAGAAGGAGCATGAGGGGCAGCCAGATCAGGACGGCCAGACCAGCTGCTCCGAAGGGAACGGCGCGACGCTGCTAGCCATCGAGGAGTCCGCGGCAGAGCCCAGGCCACTCGGCGGCAGCGACCATCGCTCTCTTGGGGCCCGGGGCCACGGATCCGCCCGCAGCCGGGCCGACCCGGGCGAGCGCCCCCGGCCAACTGGTGGGTACGAGTGCTAAGAATTACCAGGGCTGCTTCTTCGCGGGCGCCAGCCCAGCAGCGGCGCCCGTGCAGCCCCCCCCCCCCCGGCCAGGCCGCCGGTGCGAGCCCAGAGCAGGAGGAGCGCGCCACCACCGGAGGAGAGGAGACACAGGGAGCCAGCCCGCACCCGCCACCCCCAGGCGAGCCAACGGGCGCGCCTAGCGCGCCGGCGGCAGGAGCGGGACAAGGGGCCAAGCTCGGTGCCTGGTACCACCATGGGAGTGCAGCTCAGCACATCGTGGGTCAACGCTCGGGTCGAAGCGGCCTTGAAGTAGCTTGGCGAGAAGGTTGGGCGCGCACTGGGCGCGATGCTGCACCAGCTTCTCTCCTTCCTTACGGGAATGGTCGATGCTGTGGGCCGCTACCTGTTCGGCGAGCACTGGGCGAAGCTGCAGCGGGCGGCCATGGGATTTGCGGTGCTCGGGGTGGCTACTATCTCGGGCTCCGTCGTCGGCTTTGTGGCATGGCTCCTTTGAACAGCCTGGGCGTATACCTCGTTCATCGCAATGACGTCGAGTGGCTTCGCTAGTGGCAGCAAGGCGGGGCGCGACGCCGAGGCAGCCTTGGAAGGCGACCCATTATCCGCCCTGCCCTGGCATAGCCCATCAGAAGGCGAAGCAGTGGACGAAGCCCACGCGAAGAACGAGGTCCGAGCGAGATGAGGGCATCGCCGAGAAGATGATGCCCAGCGACCTCGTCGTCAAGTCGGGCGGGTCCGCGGCGCGCTCGGAGCAGGGGCCGCTCAAGGGCAGCCGCCTCGCACGGCGCGGGTGCGTCTACCGCTTCAAGGAGGTGATGGGCACCTCCCATCGCTACCTCGAGGACGACCTCAAGGCGACGAGAGACCGAGAGACGAGGAGTGAATGGTGCACCTCTGCGCGGCCGTTCCGTGCACCCTGCCAGTGGGCGAGAGCAACCTGGCCGGCGTCTGCTCGTCGCGCGCGGTCAGCCCCCGCGCCCGGATTCACGTGTCGGACCTGGCCGAGCTCACACCCGCGGGCCGTGCCTATGCGGGCAGTCGGGTCTGCTGTGCCTGGGCGCGCAGGCTCTGCAGGCGCATGCTCAGATGCTGTGCCGGAAGGCGCTGGAGACGCCCGAGGCCCGGCAATGGGGGTGGGGCGGCCGAGGAGATGGTCCCCAATTCGGAGACCGAGTCGGAGCCCAGCGTCGACATCTGCGTGGCGGACAGAATCGCCTTCCTCGGAAAGGGGGGCACGCAGGTCTGGTGCCCTGAGGGCTGCAGAGACTCAGCCCGCCAGGAGCCAGTCCACCTGCTGGCGGAGGATGCGGCGATCTCGGCCGCGCGCGACGCCCCCGAGACGGGCGGCGCTCGCACTTTCCGAGCGCGCCCCTTCCACGCGCAGACCTGCGAGGCGCAGGCGGCGCAGCGGAAGCGCGCCTGTGCCCGGTGCTTCAGAGAGCTGGGCTCCGTGACCAACGTGGCCAACGCGATAGCGAGCTGGGGCGCGCGCCGCGGACCCCCCGCAAACTCCGTCGGTCCAGCAAGGGGCGCCGTCGTGGGCGACCCTCGCACTGGCGTGGAGGCGGTCGGCCTCGGCCTTGTGTTCACTATCCCCGACGGCGCCCTGTCGGCCCCGCGCTCGGAGCTGCTTGGCGAGTTCATCGGCGCCCAGCCTTCTGCCCTCTGCTGGAGGTCAGGCGCGGCCCTCAGACTCAGACCACGGGGCGGCGCCAACTACAGTGCGGATGGCTTGAGCCCGCTGTCCGCAGTCGCCCTGGGCAAGGAGCGGAGCCGCCGCCGCGCGGCCTGTCGGGCGAGGTCCAGGAGCAGGAGTGCGACGCCGACGAGAAAGGAGGCGCGCGGCGACATCGATGAAATGCACAGGATGGGCGCAGGCGCAGGACGATGAGCAGAGGAGGCGAGACCCTCGCGCAGCCCTCATCTCTGACTACCTGGGCCGCAGGGCGGACGACCAGACAGGCGCCTTGACGCGAGGGGCCCTGTCGGCCGAGCGAGGAGTGGGAAGGCGCGAGCTTCTCGCAGAGCTCATCGAGGCCGCTGACGCGATGCGCGAGGGCGTAGTCAGCGAGGTCGGACTCAGCCTACCACGGAGGTGTCAGGCCGCGCGGGGAAGGGAGCTTGAGGGAGGAGATGGGCGCGGGCATCGGGTTGCAGAGCGGCCCGCGGAGGCGGGGGGGCAGCCGCGCCCGCCGACGGAGGCGGGGGGCGCGCGGGCAGAGGCGACGGCGACCAAGGGACGGGCGCGCAAGCACGCGCCCCGCCCGGCCTCGGCGGAGCTCCGTGCCAGGCTGAGGGCGGGGAGGTTGGCGTCGGTCGTCGAGGAGGGGCCCGAGAGGATGCCCCGCCCCGGAGCGGACTGCCCGCTCGGCGCCGCCGCGCTCCCGCGCGAGCGCCTTCCGATGCCAGCTTGGCGCGCGCCCCTCCCGGTGCCGGGGGGGGGCGGGGGGGCGCGGGGCCCCGCGGAGTCACTCGCGGCCAGGTGCCCACCCCCAGGGGCGCGAGAGGGCGGCCCAGTCTCGCAGAGGCGCGGGCCGCCCCGGGAGGAGGCGACCAAAGCGGCCAGGGCCCAGAGGGCGGCGGCAGCATCGACTGGGAGGCCGTGGCGCGCTACCGACACCAGGGGCTCCGGCGGCGCTGGTGCGCGAGCAAGGGGCACCCGTGCGCGCCCGAGGCTGTTCGCCCGGGGGTCGCCCGGGAGGCGGGCGACAGCGAGCCTGGCTGCTGCGGGGCAGCCGACGGCCTGAGAAGCGGATGCTTGGAGCAGGAAGGCGCGAGAGCATGCTCCTGGACAAGCTGGCTGGGGCCTGGGGCCGCCCAGATCAGATGGGAGGATAGCTCGACTGGGCCTTGTAGCGGCGCAGATGCTGCACGAGGCGGAGCAGCGCAAGGCGGGGGCCACCCTCCCAGAAATTGAAGCGCAGGGGCAGGGGCGCGGACCCGGCGCAGCACCAGCCGCCGAACCTGCTCGGACCAGAGGCTGTCCAGGGCCACGCCCCGCGACCTGATCTTCACGGACCTCAAAGAAGGCCAAGCTGGATCTCATTCTGGACAAGCTGGCAAGCTCCACCATCAAGTCGTACAGCCTAGGCAGGAGGTGGTGGTCTCTCTTCTGCCGCGCGCGCGGCATCGGCCCGCCGCGGGAGATCGCGCTTGCGAGTCGGAGGGGGGGGGGGGGCGAGGAACTGCTGCCGGAGTACGTCGCTCACCTGTCCAGGCGCGGGAGCAAGAAGGAGGGCATCATCGAGCGGTGCCTGTGCGCGGTCCACCCCCAGGATGACGCGGTGGATCTTGAAGAAGCTGCAGCCAGAGAGGTCTCGCGAGGGCGCGGCTCTTTTGGTGGCGGTGGCAACGGGCTACTTCTTCCTGCCGAGGGCAAGCGATGCGCGCGTCCGGGGGCCAGAACAGGATTGACGTCGCACCGAAGGCAGCTGGCGAGCCGCGCAGAAACTGGCCCGAGGCGAAGGAGGTCGTCATCAATATCAGAGCCAGCAAGACCGACCCGTACAATCGAGGTGAGGGGCGCAACCATGCAGGTGGCGGCGGAGCAGTGGAGAAGGGGCACCTATGCGCCGTGGAAGCTCCGGCGATCCACGACGAGAGGTTCTCGGGGGCGAGGATGTGCGACCCGCTCTGCGCCTATGATGATACCAGGCTCGTGGCGCGAGCAGAGGTCCAGCACGCGGTGACGCAGTCGGCCGTGGCAGAGGGGGTGGGCCCGAACGACCTCGGCTCCCACGGCTTGCGGATCGGCGGAGCATCCGAGCTGCGCGCGGCGCAAGGGCGCGCTGCAGCGCTGGGGGCGCTGGAATAGCGACGCGTTCCAGGGCTACCTGCGGGGGGGCGAGGGGCGCGCTGCTGGCTTGGCCAGCAGCGTGGCAGACGCGGGCCTGACCATGGTCTGAGGAGGAGAGGCGTGGCGTGGCAGCCGCGAGGGGCCTCTCAGGCCCGAGGCGCAGGGTGGCCCGCCCGGCCGTGCAGGCCAAGGGCTAACGCGCAGGGGCAGCCTCGCGAGGCCGAGGAGCGGCCGCCTGCCGAGGCGGAGAGAAGGCACGGGCGCCGTCGGCGCAGGAGCGCCGGGCAGCGGTGGGGCCGGGCCCCCCCTCCAGCGCGGGCAAGGGCCCTCGAGCGGGGCCGCGGCTCGCGACGCGCGGCGGCGGAGAGGCGGCAGGCGCCGAGAGCGCGCGGGGGGCAGGCGACTCGGGCAGGTGGGCTGCTGGGCCGCGAGCTCGCGCCTCGAGGCGCCAGTGCCGTTAACCATCTGATGATCGTCTGTCGCATCCACGTCAGAGGAGGAGGTGGGGAGAGGCGGCCTGAGCGGCAAGGCCCTTCGAGGGCCTAGTGCCGCGATCCGCCGTTGTCGAGGTGGAGCGAGAGGAGCAAAACCTCGGGCCACGCCTTGGTGCCCGCGGCCTCCGGGGCCCCTGGCCTGGGGGCCGATGTGCACCGCTGTATTAGATCGAGGTGGGTTCGGGGAGGGCGCCCCCATGCTCTTCGCGTTTGTTGACCCTTCTTGCGCATCCCAGCCGGCGGAGGGTCGGGCGGCGGAGGGCCTCATGTGCTTGAAGGGTGTGTTTTCTGTCCTAGGTCCGGCCGTGCGCCAAAGCCCTGATCCGCCGCACTCCAGGCGATTTCGCAAGTAGTAGGCCGCGCGCAGAGGGGGGTATGGGGTCGAGGGGAAGGCTGTTCAGAAGCACCCTTGCTTTTTAGAAGGCACGGGCCTTCTCTATATAGATACAGGGCCGGCGCCTTCCAAGAAGTAGCCTCCGCCTCCCTCCCTCCCCCTATCCCGTTGTGCGCGCCGCCAGGGTACGGTGGAAATTCTCGTTCTACTCTTCAAGCTCCTCTGATGCCGACTTCCACCCTTTTTTGCTGTCGCTGTTCCCGCCATGCCTTTTGCGGAAGCATCCGCCCCAATTTTTTTGATGCGGAAGTTTCCGCTCTATTGCTTCTCATCGTTTGGGGCGCATTTGTGCTACAACCTTTCAGTCCGAAAATCAACCAAGTACGACGGATCTGGAGTCCGGGACGCCTGACGCCTGCTGGTGGTGACTTCCTTGAGATGCTAGCGCTGGTTTTTGTCTCACACCCAGCAGTGCCATGAGGTCCAAGGCTCCAGAAGCGGTCTGTCGCGATGCTGCAGTACTCTCTCAACGCTGGATCTCAGGGTCTCTGTTTCTCTCTATCTCTTTCTCTCCTCTTTCTGTCTCTCTCTCTCTCTTTCTCCCTCTCTCGTTCCCAGGACTTCTTCTACCGGATGAACGAGGTGCGCCGCGGCCGCCACAGACGACGTCGTCGTCGCCGTCGTCGTTGCCGTCGCCGTCGTCGTCGTCGTCGTCGTCGTCGTCGTCGCCGCCGCCGCCGTCGTCGTCGCTACCGCTGCCGTCGCCGCCGCCGCCGCTCCGAGGTGGCGCTCTCGCAGAAGGTGT